ATATCACCACATTTATGTTTCCGAGCAATGAAAATTTCCGCCATTTTGTTTCGGACTAACTGTCTTCTTTCCCATAAAATTTAACAGTAGAGTATAAATTCCATATATTTTTTTCCAAAATACAATACTCAGAGACTTCCTCTACATTATTTCTTAAGTTCGAAGTTCACTTTCTCCAAAAACATGCATATTTTGTAGATCAAACACTTTGAAGCCATTCTCCACATGAGGACTTCTTCACGAAATCGCGCGTGACGTCATATTAGGACATAGGTCTGTACAGCGATTGGCCCTAGAGACGACCTCCCCCCCTGGTATATTTATATTAGTTTTATTCTCAAGTACAATGTAATTTAAACGGCGTACCTCGGGAAACATTGAGATTCTCGGGAAACAAAACTAACCGTTTCCCTTGGGAACAGTCATTAAGTGTATAATGTCAAGCCTCCCTACCATAACTGAAAGAGGAATTCACTTCACTTTATTTCACGTGTATCTATAAATGGCCTTTTTTTACTCCTTAATGAAATAACGTACGATCATCAAACTTCCAGGGAGTCACGTATTGCCAATTTACTTTCGATTCACATCATTAAATTGTCATGACGAATTTATCTTTTTTTCAGAAAAACTTTGTCCTGAAAAGAGCTTTAATGAATTAATTTTCAAATGATTTCAGAAGATGTTGAGCATTAGGAGCATAAACGTAAACATCGTTGTCTACATCCTCTTTGGACTCAGTTTAGACTTTTGACCCCTTTCCCTTTCCCTTTTAATTGGTTCTCAAACCCTCTTCCTGATAATTATTATCCAGTCCCTCACGTACAAAAAATGCATTATTTACCTGGTTCCCAGTCCCTGAAATGAACGCAACATTTGAAATGCTTTTCTCCTTCAAGAAATGGTAAAAGTTTTTTCACGATGAATTTTTCGTCTTTCGAGCTGAATATAATGGACGTGTCATATTTTGTATTYAWAGGATCTGTTGACGAAGAAAAAATAGTAGAGTTAGAACCATATTGAAATAACCAATACATTGAGGAGGGACGAGGAGTTTGCGCTCGTTTCTGGAKCTTGMTAGAATATAGCGATACTTGTTGAAGATAAGATCGCCCACCAATGTTATCTAACTYACCTGGCGTATATATYCCGGAKGAATCCGATCGCCTTCTATGAAAATACACAGCAAGTAACAAAGCAATGCCAACCAGCACTCCCCCCGACACGGCACCACTGATATAATAGACACGATCACTGGTATTGGGCTCTGCGGTGCCACTGACATAATGTTTTGTGCTGAAGATAATTCCTTTTGTTGAATTAAATCGACGATCTCTTGTATTAGGCTCTGAGGTTCCACTGACAGAACGCTTTGTGGTGAAGACTCCTGTCGTTGGATAAAATGGAATGGTTATTGAAATGCGCTAAAAATATGAGCCAAGGGACTGAATACTCTTAAGTGTTTTATTATGCCGTATTCACGAGAAKGATATTGATGGTATAGATGCTTATTACTCGCGGAACGTCGATAGGTAACAGGCTCGTAGGCTGTCTTACAAATGGCGGGGTTCATTTTTTCATAATGCGGACCTAATTAAATGTTTAACAAAATTATCTTAATGCACAGGTATAGTGTGTAAAAACTGGCTGCTATAATGAGAAGTTCATAACAAAATCTCACAAACAGTTTATAACAAATTAATTTTAAAATAGAACAATAAAAAAAGAGAAACCGAATTCCCGAACTTCCCCCAAGGCTACGGGCCTGCGCAAATACTCCTCAGATGATTGGCCAGCATTTTTAAATTTTTAGTCTTTAAAAAGACTGTCTGAAGCTGTAGATTTGTTACACCATCGTACAATGTTGCCATTGTTTTGGTCCTAATTTTGTGAAAATTAAATATTGTGTTCTTATTTACTGGGTTGAGTGGGAGGGCCTTGCCGAAATCAATTTTTTTCAGACAATTTTATCCAATGATCTCGGTAATTAAAAAAATGCTAAACAATTGATAAAAACACCAGTAAACTATTAAAAATATGAAAAGCGCGCGACCCGATGACGGCATTTCTTTCGACGATTTTTTTTATTTTGAGTGCGAGAGCGGGGCGTATACGGGTTTGGAAGACCGTGTCGAATCTAATCCTGCCACGTTGGCATCATCGTTTTTCAAAGGTTATATGATAAAAAGGCCTTTTTTTATCAGTGTCTAAACCAGATGAATTCAAGAAATTCAATGGTTTGTATCAATATACAGCAATTCATCTAATCACAAACCTTTTGGGATAAATATATCCATCGTTTGCTGCATTCCTACCTCTGATTTACTGGGCG